ACGTTTTCAAAAAGCAAAAAATAACCTTAAGTGTAGTGTGCATGGAGATTGTTGGGAAGAAGTGAAATACAAATGAAATAGATGCGCACCACGTTTAAGGTTATTTTTTGCTTTTTGAAAATGTGGTTTTTTAGATTAATTTTTTAATCTACTAAATTTTTTTTATTTAGGGCTAAATCGAAAACAAGATGCTGTACACCTCTATTTGAAGTTTTAAAATGAAGACAATTTCTTCATCTGCGAATGTGTGACATAAAAATGAAAGTTATTCGATTTGTCTATTGCACCATTCTTCCATTTACAGCTGGAAACTCTTTCAATCGAAAGTAAGCTGCTGAATCTTGAATTTTTCATTCAAAAATAGTCAAGCGGTTTTTTTCAATTTAATGATAACGTTTCTTTGTATTCAAAATAAGATTGTGATCGTCAGTATAGCATTCATGAACTTGACCTGCACATTCAAGACACTGTCAAAAATATGAAGCTTGCCCTAATTTTTAAAGCCATTTTTGGAAAAGGCTTGAAATATGAAACACTGAATGTGTCGATTCTTCTTTTTTTTGCGGCAATCGGGGAAAAATTGGCTTTGTACCTGCATTTTCATTGCAGTTGTCTCTGTCGAATGCTGAAATACCTGCTGAAGAAATTATGAAATTTGCTCTCATTCGTAATTTGCGAGAACTGGAAATTGCGAATGATCCCAAAGTCCGCTTTCTGGACTTTTCGACCTCGATCTTGCCACTGTTGCGGATGAAAGGGCACCAGTTGGAGTCTTTGACCCTGTCCCACTTTCCGGACATTTGCGTTCAAGGTTAGTGTTATACATTATTTTTTTGAATATTTCATGGTATGAAAAAAAACTGAATTTTGCAGCATCTTCATTCATATATGACTTGTCAAATTCATACTATGATTGCCACATTACTCCTGGATTTCTTCAAAGTATTATACAATGCCTGTACGATACCAGAATTGATCGAATCAACACATGTTCAATTTTGCATCAGGTATTTCAATACAAGATCAAAGATTCCGAACTTTTTATTGAGATAAGGTGGTGAAAAGAACCAAGTGAAAATTTGCGAACGAATACGAGTCGACTGAATCCAACATTCGCAATCAAAATTTCAAGATAAAAAATTTCTTGATTCAATTTACAAATTCTTGAAACAATATCTAGGTTTTTTGTCGTATATTTTTCATATTTGAGTTGATCACGGATGATCATCGACCATACGGATGACCACAATCGATCATTCGGGGATTTGAGATTTCTGTGAAGCCTATATTTGCATTAATTTGCCTTATGTAGAAATCCAAGCAGCAATTTTATCTTTAAACCGTGTATATGAAATACTTTTGTCAGTCATAATTGAAGATAATTATAAACTTTTATGTTCAAGAAAACTCCCAGCCTCAGGCCAACGAATAATTGGAAACTTTTCCTGAATAGTCGAATATCTCCGATATTATACTGCTGTATGCCCAAAAATATTTTTATTCAATGGAAGGAAACGATTACATGTATTTAAAAAAAATACCAACTAAATAATACAGACATTCCCACAAAATTCGGAGTAGTTCATATCGGCTAGAATTAGTTAATCGTATTGGTAAGTTCGCATGGGCTCAAATAAAATGAAAGTATGTTCACGTCACTTTGTTGAAACTAAATTGATCAAAATTTGAGGAATGTTCATTGAATTCCAGGTTGAATTGAGTCCTTTGTATGGATAGGAAAATAGTACAGTATTAAAAAAATTAAAGTTCCAATCTTCCAAACGAGAGGAAACACGCCTTAATAAATTCAGCCTTCATCGCATAAGAAATTTGTTGGATTAAAATGTGACGGTGCATTTATTTGAGGAAAGAAACTCGTAAATAAAATTAAAAAAAAAACCTTTCATCTCTCGTCGTCGTGTCGACTTATATTCTTTCACGCTTTTTTAGTTGTTTTGTTTCGTTTTAGCTTTTGTATATTTTAATGCGTCGCAGAAGCATCAGGTTGTTGGGTGTCAGTTTTCGCGCAAAGAGCGAGACACGTACTGTATATACACACTCGGTTGTAACCCTTGCCAAGATGCGACCATTTATCATTCGGGCTTCAGGTCGTTCATCTTCACGATTACGTCCTGACAAGCCCGTATTTTTACAAGCATTCCTACGCATCAAGAGTAGTGCAAAAACCTGTGCAAGCATTCCAGCCTCATTTTCACACCATGTCCTTCAAAATTTGTTTTTTTTTTTACGAGCAAAAAGAAAAACAGATTCGCGCGTCTCAATCAGAGAAGGATAAGATAATATTTGCCTGTGCTATTTTGCGCCAGATTTTATTTTGTTTTGTGCCCTATATTAAGGGCTATATGTTCAGAAATAGCCTGAACGTGTTGAGAAATAAATCCCAGTACAAAGTCACGAGTTCCTCTAGATTGTCTAGAACTTCTGAGACGTTTGAAGAAATAATAAACTTATTTCATGAAATTCGTCAGTTCTGAGGAAACAGGGCAAAAGAAACAAAAAGTTATTCGCGTATCTCATATGAGATGGAAAAAATAATGTTCTCCTGTCCTCTTTGCTGCCCTAGCTTTTTTTTTTATTTATCCCACTGAAGTTTATGTTCAGAAATAAAAATGAAAATTATTAGAAATAAATGCATTTGACAACGTATAATGTGCTGTACCTCTTGAAAGTCTGGAAAACTTTTCGAGAAATTATCTAGGGAATATTTGTGAAATTTATGAGTTTCCGAGTTCGACATGTTGAAGAGCAGATATAAAACTCATGACATTTCTGTGAAGAATATTTCAAGAAAAAGTAATAGTTTCCGGAACTCTTTCCATCGACATTAAATTACCCCATAAAAGGCTTATTTGCATTTAGACTTTTCCCAGGAAATCCTCAGGGACTTTATAGTGAATTTCACTATGTAATGACGGAATTCGAGACACTCCCTGATTTTATCGGGAGATTTTATACGAAAAAAAGGGCAACGATTTCCAACAATCAAACTTATCCTATTTCAAGATTCTTTGCGGTAACTGAACAAGCTTAAAAATAAACAAATTCCTCATCGCTTAAAATAATCAATAATATTGTTTGTTTGTTTTTTTCAAACGAGTCTCAAAAGAATTGCGTAACAGACTATATAACAGTCCATTCGAGGACATCATCACAAAGGATAAAAATCCATATATATTGCCTTTCGTTACACCATTCCTTACGGACTTTAATTGCTTCCTCGCAATGTATGATATCTCACGTGTATCAATAATGCATCCGAACGGTGAAAAAGTGAACCTCAAAATTCCTTCATGAACTATATTTTTTTATGATCAATCATCAACATTCCGAAACGGAAATGGAACAAGAGCTCTGTGTTTTCTCGTCGTGTGCGTTTCACTTCGTGGGAGGTGCTTTCTTCTTTTTGTACACGTGGGATTTTAATACAGGGTGCCTGAAATTAAATCAAAGGGTTTGGAAGAATCAGAAGAATCATACGCGATGGATTTATAATTTTTAAATTAATTGGACAGCTTCGATACGACAGTTTGTGTCAACAAATAAGGGTAAAATTTGGAATTTGTTCACAAGGTTTAGTTCATCCACATCGTATAAATAAAAATAAAGTAAAATAAATGCTACTTACTGATGCATATCCACGGTTGATGGATTTAATCTGTCGTTGTAAAAATCCCGTTATTCATAAAGTCTATTCACAGGAGCAATATGAGTGACTATAGTGAATTCCAGACTTCCAAAAAAATCTTTTAGCGGTCGACTCGTATAATGAGGATAAAATAAAAATAAAATAAAATAATATTTATTTAGGATATAAATGGAATAGAAAATATTTTAAATATAATAACGCACTGAATTCATATCTATATTTACTTAAATTAATTATCAAATACAGGAACACTAAATTCCAAGGAAAACAATGCTCAACTTCGTCATGGATGCCAAAAAATCGTTAACGCAATATAAAAAGGAGTCTGGCGTCTATACATACTGAATAAGGCCACATTAATGTTTATTTTCAAGGAAATATATCCTCTATGGTCTAATTATCAAAAGAGAGTTTATTTTGCGATCATTTTGTAGAAATTCCCGAAAGCCACTTATTGTCGATTATCCGAGGGGTGAAACTGCTGCGAATTTTTCATGGTACGGGGTGAAGGTATTATATTCTTAGTATTTAAATTGGTCAGATTTTCTGCTTGAATCACCATTTTTTCATTCTGGTTTAATTATCATAAGAAGAGTCAAATTTCTGGAGCAAATTTCAATGGAATTCCTAGGCCATTGTGTGAAAAAAAATGTCTGCCATTGTTGGAAATTAGAAAAAAGTAAGTAAGATATTTACTAATAGAAAGGTACAAATCCAAAAAAGAATGAATCAGTAGACTGTTGAAAGAAGTCTTAATCTGCCAGGAATTTCATGAGACCAAGTTTGACCTTGAGTTTGCTTAAGGGTTTTCCTGTACCTTTGGGATTTCCTGGGATAACTCAATCCTCACGGACAAAATTTCAGCAAGAAAGGTATTTTAATGCTGATTTTGTTTCTGTTTTATAATCAGTTGTTTTTTTGCCAGTCTCACACAAAAGATGTCAAAATTCTTGTTGCAATTGAGCATTCAAAATCTTTGCATCTTTGTCAAATATACCAACCTTACACTAGGGTGTCAAGCACCTGGCCATAGCCCAGCTGATTACGTTTATTCATTATTTCAAAAGTGTTTCAAAATTTTCCCGTTTTAAGAGCCATTATATGTGTTGGTTATCCACGGGGTAACACTATACTATGTATTTTTTCTGTTTTATCGTATTCTTGGTTTTTAAATTAGTGAGTTTATTTTTTTTAGGACACCCCGTTTAAAAAGAAGAGAAGCAGTGATACAATTTTTCACGGTCTCTTCGGGATCGACGTCTGTCATGTCGAAGAACCGACGTTGACGAGGGTCGTCGAAGGAACCGTGAAAATGCCCACGCCTGGTGCCCGTCTGATGCGATTAATTACCGTGTAGCAATTAAAGATCACGGGTATTTCTTGAGGACATCCCTTATCCTCTTGCAGCCTAACATTTTTTTTCTTTTAAATGATGTACATTTTTGATTGAACGCGTGGACAAAATTAGACCTGACAATAATTTTAAAACCTTCATTCCACGAGGTTATGTGTGGCCGACAATCGTTTTTTATATTTTTATTTCATGGTCAATACAGTCGCTTTTCATGTCCTACTTTCTTTAGGTTTAAAGTACAGTGTACGTCAACATGCTGAGAATTCAACATAGGGACACTTATTTTCCCATAAAAAAAATAAAAAGGCCTGACATGAGGACACTGATGCAACAAAGGGACATTTTGTGATAAAATTGCAAATAAGTTACAGGCCAAGTTACAAGAACCAGACATTTTCAACCCTAAAATTGATGTGAGAAAAGTTCTTGGGCATTTCTCTCACCAATTTACCATCCATTTAGCTAATTTAAAAAAGTACCTCCAGCATAGAGGGACTTCCTTCTCACTTTTTCAATATAATATAAATTTTTCGTCTTAGAAATAATTCTCCGGGCAGTTCTTACCATGACAGCAACATAATATAATATCAAAGTCGAGCAATGATTTGAAATTTTGAATACAAAACTGCCCATAAAATTTGGTACTGTAAAAATACTGTATTGTATTTCCCTTCCTCTATTTTAGCCTAAAATAATTTAGCATTTCTTTTATTGCCATCCAAAAGTTTTCCACATGTTTTATTTAATCTGGCTAAATCTATAGGAATAAAAGAAAGCATTGGATTATTCCTGCTGAGCAGCAAATCTTGATGGGGGAAAAATGCATTCCTGTCATGAATTTCACTTTGGACAGCCGATATATGTGGACTGTACTCAAATTCGTTCTTCCTGATTTTGTGGTTCAGTATACCATTTGTTTTACATCTGTCGTCAAATCCGAGCCCAGAAAAGAAAAATTATTTGGAAGATAGATCACTGGAAGGCTTTTCTCGAAGACGTGACAGCCTTCTTTGACTGACGTCTGTACAAAAAGCCTCTGGTCACAAAGGGGTCGAATTTTGACAAGAAGAAAATCCGGAGCACGTCGGAGATCAAATTAAAGCGGGAGACTTGTGTCAAATAGTCTAAGTTTATGAAGTTGATGCTCCAGCTGAAAACAGGTTTTGAAAGTATTTTTAAAAATGGAATCGAAGAATAACCTTTTGTGATTTTTTTTTTCTAGATGTGAGCAAATAAATTATAAACGTCCATATTTATCTTCCAGCGATTGGCACGTGTTGTCCGAATTTGCGCAAATTCAGCGTTACGCACGTGGATGCATTTGCATGCAGCAGCGTTGCCAACGATAACTCTCCTGAAAACGAGGCCATGATCAGTTCGGGTGTCGTTGCCATTAATGGTTCATCCTCCGATGCTGCTGCTGAAAATACTGCCGATGAAGGCCATAACGGGGATGAAATCAGTGAACCCGCGAACGGGATCGAGTCGACCCCGTCTCACCCCATGTTCGGCAAGCTGGAGGACTTTGAAATGATTTGCCAATTTTACGGGATCGTGCCCAGGGCGGAACACTTGCTGACCTGTCTGGTGAAGGCAGAGGACTTGAAAAGGATGACCTTCAAGGCCTGCACTTCCGCCGACGACCGGTTCTTCTCCAAGCTCTTGAGGGTGAGTCCTTTTTTTCTCTTTTTCAAGCAACATTTCTTTGTCTCTCTCTTTTTTTTTGGTGCCTCATACACTCCTTTTATATTCAGTTTTTTTTTACTTTTTTAAAGTTGTAATCCACAAGTTTGTGAAACCAGCTGATGCTGCCTCCCCTGTCTGCGCCACTCTCTCCTCTTTCATTCTTCCTTCCTACTTATCTTAGAGGGTTCTAACAAAAGTTCTCAGAATATAAATTAAAATGGCATATTGAGCTGAAAAAAATTATTCTTTAGAGAAAACATATTCTTTGGCACAAGAAAACAATCAGGTACTTTCCTGTTATCAGGTTATGTTATTTAAAAGATATCTGTAACTAACATAACATAACTGACGTAACTGACATAACCTAACTTTACCTAACTGCCTCCCAAAATCAGTTTCAGCAGAATGCAGGAAAATAAAATGCACAGTTTCTGGTAGGTTGTCGTGATTATGAACTTGTCCCAAAGATTTGTCTGGATGGTAGTGTGGTCTAGGAATGAGGTACTGAGATAACAGGAAAGTATAAAAAGCAGCCCTGTTTGACAAATGTTTTGAATGTTTTGCAAAATTCACCATTGCAGAGTTTTGCTCTCCACTCAAAAGATGAGGCGCCCTTCCCGCAGATTTTTTTGTTATAGCACAGCTTTCCCCTCAGAATTCTTGAAATCAACCTGGCATTAATTCCAAGGGTTGCCTCCAGGTCTTCCAAGGTAATTTCGCCATTTTCATCAACAGCCGCCAATCAGGATGGGAATGTGGCGGCTGTTGATGAAAATGGCAGATTTTTCCAAGAAGTCTGAGGGGAAAGCTAGGCTATAACAAAAAAATCTGCAGGAAGGGCGCCTCATCTTTTGAGTGGAGAGAAAAACTCTGACTGGGTGAATTTTGCAAAACATTCAAAAAAATTGTCAAACAGGGCTGATTTTTTCTTGTGCAAAAGAATATGTTTTCCCTAAAGTCTTAATTTTTTTCAGCTCAATTATATGCCATTTTAATTTATATTCCAAGAACTTTTGTTAGAACCCTTGTACTTCACCAGCCTGAGCTGGAAAGAAAAAAAAGGTGTGTATTATGAAAAATGCACATGATAAATGCCTTGGGGTCAGCAAGCCAAACAGCCCAGTGCCCTCCATTATTGTCCTCATGTTATTTTGTTTAAAAAGAACAAAGATGAAAAGTTCACTGTTCTCTTCCACTGCATGTCCCTTTAAAGTCTTTAAACTCCTGTGCCAGCCAGCATTCAGTAGCATTCACATTTGAAACATTGTGCCAACAACTTGCATCATCTGAAGTGTAATAAAACACTGCTTGTCTTTAATTGTTTTCTGTAATTTATTTGCTTCTCTGTGTATATAAATGAAGTCTAAAGTGAGGAACAATTAATTTTCACTCTTGTGGAGGACTTAAAGTACAGTATTTAGATTAATGTATAGGAACCATGTGTATTGTTATTCATTTAGTGAATATGAATATACTTAGGGATTTCCCTTGACAGTTTTCGGGCATATGCTCCGAATTGTACAAATGGTTGGTGAAGTTGAAAATATAGGAAAGAATTAATTTTTATCATTACAAATGAATGCGTACGGATTATATTGCGATTCATTGTTGTAATACCGTGTCTTCATATGATTACAGTATTCCTATAAATTGACGTTTTCCGAGCATATTTTCTGATATTTTAATAGTTTTCTCATCAAGTTTCTAGTGAAAAGAATCAACTTTCATTGTTGAGGAGAAGACTGGAAGGAAATTTTTCTTCAGTTGACACGTGTTTGCAGGCAAGCAAGCATGCATATGAGGTCTTTTTGCGCGGTTGGTCAAAAGCGTGCTTCGTTCCGGCGGAAAACCCGGGTTCAGCTTTTGCTTTTCAAGTGCTGAAGACATTCGATCTTTCCCCTGAAGAAGAAAAACAAGTGATAAAGGTGACACTTTGTGTGGAAATGGATGCCAAGATTGGGATCCTATAAATATATATATATATACTTATGTTGCGCATTTATTGGAGTCACGTGGACACTCCGTCAGTGAAAAATTACAAGCGTGAACGTTTGTGCCCCGGATATTTTTTGGTGAGGCGGTTCATTTACTCTTGTATACATTGTTTATGATTGTAATTATATATATATTGGCTTTTGCGGTTTTGTTTGACATGATTTTGTGATTTAATGGGTGCACTGTGAAGAAGAACTCTTTTTTTTCTAAAGCAAGAGACATGGAACCATGCTCTGCTACCAAATTTTGTGGAGAATTTAAAAGAAATAAATATTTTGGAGTAAAACTCAAGAATTTTGTTGTGCTATTTTTTGCGGTCCCAATATGTCTTTGTTCGCGAAAGACTTTATGCATTTTGTAAATTTAAGCTTTCGTTTTTCATTTTCGAAGCTTCGAATGGCCGTAGAAAACCTTGATGCGTGATGGAAATCCCGGAGAGAAGCGACGTAATTTCTCAAGGAAATTAAGTTCTGGGGAAACGCGGTAGAGGTCGTGTTTGGTCGTCATTACGGAGGCTGAATCGGTTGTTAAAATTTGAATCACTGACGAAAGTGAATAGCTTTCTGGGTTTATTTATGTTTTTTCTTTCAAAGAGTTTAATGTAGTCGCTGGTTCTACGACTATGGCCTTCGGCGTCGTCAAACGGAACTCGAAACCACTTTTCCTCGAACTAAAAGTGTTACGATAATCTCATAGAATAATATGGTATTGAAAAAAGAAAAAAATGTGTACAAAATTGCTTCAGAGGTGCCTTGAAAACGGCGTGAAATATACTCTTTGAACAATTATTTTGTTTTGTTCAATGCCAGTAAGGTCATACAAAAAAAAGTTTCGCTTTTGGCCATTTAAAAGATGTATGTCAGCTAGAATGAAGATCAAATTTAATTTGCCTTCGAGACATTGGGAGGTTATTAATCTATGCTCATAATGCATAAAATCAGATGGAGCCTCTCGTCTCTAGAAAAAAAATCGAGGGAACAAAAAAAAAATTCTTTCGAGAATATTTCGTTTCTGAACCCATATACTTCACTATAAGTGAACCCTATGCCTTTCGGACCAAAAAATGATTCTAATGCAGAGAAACTCGTTGTAGACAACATCATTCTAGTGAGAGTCCAGTAGTATTTATTCAATTGTTGAAATTTTTGAATTAGTCATTCACTTCGTTGCGTGGATGTATTGTATTTTCAAACGAATTTTCGTCAGTTTCTTTTTCTTTTTCCTGCCGAAAGTGGTCGAGTTTCGTCATATTACGAGCGTCATCTGTATGCGCTGTGACCCTGATCATTCAAGGTCCTTTGCAGAAGACTCCCGTGTCTTTTCAGTAGATGTCGCAGTCATCGCGTCCTTGAACCCCAGAACATGGAGGTCAACATCACCATCAGCAATTATAGTTTCGACAAAATCGTACAAATTGATGAAAGATTAGGAATCTTCGATCAGCATACATCACATGCAGTTTAAGGTTTTATAATATTTATTGTTTAGTTCGCCATCTGAATCTAAGAACTGCATCCATTGAAAAATGATTTCCCATAAGAATCTGAAATTTGCCGAAGGTCCCACCATACTACAGCAATAACTTATGCTATTCACATTTGAAGAAAAACAGTGCTTCGACTTTTTGAAATTAACTTTTAAACCTGTGACTGAAAACCTCGAAGAGAGCTATACTTTTCCAGACTTGAAGGCCCAAAGAATTGTGATTATGCATGACATGTCATATACGATGTGCGGCAAACGTTTAAAACCAAACAGTACAGTATATTTTATTGTAATAATATTGCATTTGATTACGTTCGGGATCACATTATTTGAGGTTTTTTCTTCGCGCGAGTTTACTGCGGGCGACATCTGCTTCCAAAGCAGGTCACTACGACTCGTTTGAATCGAACAGTCATTTTCAACAGCAGCACGCAGCCTGAATAACGCCTAGGTGCGCGTACCTGTACTTTATTATGCAGTAGAATGGTTGCGTAACTCGTTTCTCCATCATAATATAAAGTCCGCCTCTGAAATGGTCCCCTCCAATAAAATTTATAAATGGACTTAATTTTTTTCTTTCTTATTGATAGTTGATCCTTAAAGGCAAGTTAGGAAGGTCTTCGGTGGGTAACATATGTGATGAGCCATGAATCCGAAACGATGACTCGGTTGCCCCCCGAAATCGGTGTCGTTTACAACGCATCGTGTAAGACTCAACTTTTCCAAGTTCAACAGCAGCTTGACCTCTGATAATCTTAATCATAAAACCTGCTCATGCCAAAGCCCTCTGTCGTGACCATTGAATAATGATGCATTCCTGTATTTCTAGGTTAAGTATACAAAAATAAAAAAGAACGATGATGTCGGGATTTATGCGATACTTATTCAGGTGCTACTGGCGCAGTTTAAAAAGCAGTTGGTTAATCACAGCATGCGTTATAATAGAAACAGCATGTATAAATGTCTGCCCACGTACCTTCCACATGATGGAAAATATACTGGAATTCTGACAATACGACCATTTTCATTTGAAAAGTTTTCTGCAGGTGGTGGGATTGCTTCGAAAATACCGTTCACTTCTCATCCACTATCTTGCATTTACTGAAAATGTTCAATGAAGCTGAATTTAACTTTTTTTCATCTCACAATTAAATATTCGTCTCTGGAATTTCCGCTTGTGCAGTTATTCTCTCAAACGACTGACACAAAAAATTACTGTACTGCTAAAACTGAACCTAGAATAATAAGATTAAATTCCATTCATATTTGCCACTAGTTTCATCCCTTTGGACATTTTTAAACAGCATCATCTATAACGACACGAGTACTGCTGAATCAGTGGCATCGAAAATCGATTCCAAGTCGAGATCTATTTCATTGAGCCAAATATTTTATCTGCGGTATTTCACAAATAATCGAGAAGTGATGTTGAATCATACCCAATGTTTTGAACTTATTTCGATAGAATCCGAGTTGATGAAAATTGCTCAGACATTTTGAATCTGGAAAATCGAAAAATTGCGTATTTTTTGCCTATTCAAGTCGACAATCGTGCATTTTTTGAAATGTGGATCACACATTTCGCTTTTTTTGAGTAAACCTCCTGAAAGGAGCGATTACTCCATTTTTAAGTTCGTTACTTTTTACTGAAGGAAACGCATTGCTAAAAATAAAGGTTGGCAGCAGTTGGAAATATAAATGATCAATGAAGTTTCTGAAATTTCAACAGCTGAAGAATGAAATCTATCTACGTAATAACTTGGATGGCTGTCCATTTCTGTCAAGTATCGTGCCAATGTCAGAGTTCTGAAATCCGACATTAATGTTATCCTATTGTTTTCCAACCGCCAAAATTTTGGGAACGGAAATGATAAATGAGTCATCTCTAACGTTTATCAGCAATTTTTGCTGGAATATATCTCAACGTCTTTACAGGGACTGTTCTTCCTTCATGCGCATAATAATGTCCACCCAATTAGTGCACATTATCGGCATCTACATAAACAACATTTGTTTATGACTAAGCGTTGTGCAAAAAATTGAGGAGCAGTCAGTTGTCTCGTTAAACCAACACCTCGTCCATTGATCCCACACAAACATTGTTAACGCTGCCTCGCGGTCTGCATGTATAAGATCCGAAGTCATTCTGATCGACGTCTGTAGTGAAGAGTTGATTACTTACTGTATATGACGCCCATGGTGACAGTATAGATATACAGTACGAACATTCTGTTATGGGAGGTTTCGTTATGTTGATTGCCTCAATTACTCAATCAAACGGTGATTGTTTTATTGCTCGGTGTGAGTGCTTGACCGTGAAAATGGTATCCGTGTGGAACAGGTCTTTCCTGTTCCGGAATTCCTGAATAGTCGTTTATTGATTTCTTGATCCGTTAATTAGTGATGCCTTCGGTTCCTGCTGCTGGGTGGCAATTATAAGTAGGCTACGATGTGGCGTTCGTTTGTGCTTGATGAGGTCGTCGCGTTATTCGTAGAGCTTCGTGTTGATGGAAACGGGGATAAATTATGGTTTCAGGTTAAGTTATTTGACCTTTCGTTCTTGGCGTCAAGGCCCGAGCATAAATCAAAAATGGCATGAGTTTTAATGCAAGTGGCGGAGAACATATTCAAACGCATTTCCTCGGCTCTTTTTAACCATTATATACAGAAAAAATGCCGGTATGCAAGATTTGTGTTTCGATTCGATTATACTGTAGGTACATAGAAACTTGTTAATCTTCGGATGCCGAGCATTCCGCTTCATACTCTGCAAATAGGTTTGGGTAATCCGCGGAGCTGTTCTCTGTTCACGTTGCTTGCAGTTGTTGGATGCGTTTCTGGTGGTTAAATGTTGTGATCTTCATAATCATTGGTCGATTTTTTTTCTCACTTCAAGGTTAACCCCCTGAAGAAGCTTCAGAAAATATCTCTGGATTTTTGTCCGGTCACGACGAAGACTGTGCTGAAATTCCTGCGCATGGAGAACGATTTGCACTTCATGACGGTTTGCGACACCGGGGGAATCGACCTGAAGTCTTACCGCGATATCACCATCGAGGCGAATAGCATGAACCTCGATTTGTACATCGAGTGGTCTGATTGATTTGTATGCATGTCTCGTCCTCATTCTTTTTTTTGGAAAACTGTTGAATTATGCTGGCATAAAAGCAGTTTGTCTAGGGTTTGGAGGTTCTATGATGATCACATGGATCACGTGTTTTTAGATACGGTATTTGAGACATAGAATGGAAAACTTTGATGATGGCTCTTTGTAAATTGTGTGGTTTGAATTTTGAATCTTGAAATTGCATTGAAATATACTGTGTTACGGAAATTGAACCTTGATTGGAATCGAAATTTGAGTCGTGAACCTGAAGCGGGACATACTGTTGAATATAATCAGAATGGATAGTTCCACGTTGACGTGTTTTGAATATTTGTCGGGAATGAATAGACGATCATATAGGAGCCGAAATTATGAAGGAAAAGAGAGATTTTGTTCAAAAAGACGGACTTGTTCATTTGATTTTTATGGCAATCGGCCCATAAAATGTTCATGATTGGTGAAAAAATGTGGTAAATGCCAATCCTATCAAACGCCACACATCTTCAAACAACTAACTCAGTATGTGGTGATACTGTACTTCAGCATTCTAGAACTACTGAGCATTACAATGCTTTTCCTGGCTGCCAATAGTGGACCAAGAGGAGTTCAGGTTCTTGCTGACCTACCTGGTGAAGGCTGAAGACTTCAAGAGGATGACCTTCATGGCTTGCACTTTCTTCAATGCTGTCGGGGGGAAAAGACAAAACTACCTCCTACTACTATTTTCTATAGGCGAAAGCTTTTGTTTCTTCTTCTCTTTGCTTTGTAGTCTCCTTCTTTTTCTTCCACTTCGTGAAACTTGTGACTCACGTTCTTTTATATTTCCGTCTTCTGGACGTCAATCGGGGCAAGGCAAGAAGTGTAGGTGGTCCCGATTGCTTGAATTCTGGGAGATGACACAGTAAGAATTTCTCAGCAACTTTTTTATATTTTCGATTTCTGTAAAATAAGATGTTGCGCAGAACATGATGATGTAATACAATGCGAGCTCATTTCTGGGTTATTTTTAAATATGAAGAAGCGTTGTGTCTTTTTGACTGATGTGTGGAACCTGGCGTAAATCGATGAGTCTCTTGTGGATTTAATTAATTTCAGATAGGTTTGGTTCACATGGAATAAATTCAAGAATTTTTGGAGTTTATATATTATTGGACAATTGCATTCCTCCTCCCATTTTAAGGAATATTTGCATATCTTTTCTTCAACCGGCACAATATGACCCAGCATGATATTGAAGGGATNCAAAATCACAGCCTTAACTCACAGTCACTTCTCATTTGGATTTTTTTTCTCTTTAAATGGGAAAACTAGAAAATTCATAGCCTGTATAGTGAAATACTGTACTGAATTTTATTATACTGTAGTACCGGCTTATATGTGCCCTCAAGAAAGATGCGCTTGTTGATTTTTTTTAACTTTCTCTGCATAAAACCAGCTGCCCATATACATTATTACGAAATTTAGAAACTTTCTATTGATTGTTTTCGTGACTGTGATGTAGTATTTGAATTTAATGGAATTACATGGTGCCAAAACATGCCCTGTTAATTATTTTCTCATATGGATGGGACCTTGTCTATGTAATGTTGGAATGCCTGCATGTCAGATACAGTTTTTGTATAGACTTAAATTAGGAAATTTATAAATAATTCTAATATTTGTAAAAAAAAAAGAGATCTCCAAAATTATATTGAGGAAGGCGTTTCTTAGCCTTAAGATGCATACAATAACTTTGCCAAAGGAAGCCATTCAGAATCTGCTCTTTTGGCATGGAAGAGTCATAATAAAAAAAATAAACACTCATCCGCACCATGCACTGAAAAATTAGCTTGTTTTCAGATTATGAATTATATCTAAATTCATGAAGTATATTCTGCAGTTTTGTTCATAGAAATACAGCAGCTTCATTGGTTTATATGAGGTACAGTTTCAAATTTTTGAACAAACATTTCCATTGTTGAAGAAATTTGGGCAAGGTTCTGCACATATCTCAAGACATTGTCTGGATGTCTGGTCATCATTTCAAGCTGTATTAAGCGTCCCTAAGTTGAATTGTTTGCATGGGCTTGTCCATGTGTCAGGACTCCAGCGCTGATGCATTATCTGGAGAAAATAGACTGCTCCATATTTTAGATCTCAGTGCCGAGTAAAATTTTCTTCAAATTAAAACTTGAGGAAATTCTTTTGGATGAAGTCTCGTAATTTGGTTTCTTGGATGAAATGGTATGTATAAAAAATGTGCAAACGCCAAGTACAGCATTGCTAAGAAGTATTGTGTGTACAGGCTGAACCTCATGCATTGGTCAAACCTCCCTATGCAAAATTTTTCAAGTCCCTGTCTGAATCCCCCTATAGAAACAATGGATTAAAAACCTCCCTAATTTGAAGGCTTTCCTATTCAGACCTACATAATTCAAAGTTTCTTATGGGGGCCTTTTGGCTTTTATTTTACTGACACAGGATAGCAAAAAGCAATAATGTATCTGGATGTGTATTGAAAAGGAAAGTAAGACTTTAATTGGACAAGTAAACCCCTTCCTCCAAGTTCAGCATCTTGCCAACTCATATAAAAAGCAATTTGAGGCCTAGAATATCAGAAGGATTACAATTTCCTGTAATTCCTTTTGCTATCCTCCAACATCTTTAAATGCTCGTTTCCTTAACTTGAAATCTATGCCATAATGCCAAAGTCGATTTTTGTTTTGCTGGTCCCTTGAAGTTTGACTGTAACATATCCCACCGCAGGAATAATGTCAATCGGGACACAGATCGGAACAGTGACGTGAATGGGACAAGCACGCATCAGAGACCTCGTCGCACACTGAATCCCACCAGCAAGGCAGTGCCATCAGCAGCAAATAACGATGCTCATCAACCGCACCACACGCATGCTTCACAATCAGCAGCAGCAGCAGCACGAGGTACTTCCACCACCGTCGGCAGCAGCGTTCCAGTTAATAAACAGTCTCCATTGAGGATCGCGTCAGCGTCGTTGACGATGACGGGGGTCAAGCCAGGGACGTTTTCGCGGATTTTTCAACAGTTCTTCCTCGACAGTCTGGCCATGCTGTGTCTCCTCTTCCTGGCCGCCAGTTGCCTTTTCATCACCTCTTTCACTATCATGGACCATTTTTCCTCGGGTGATCAAGTCACCTGGGTAGGATGGACATTCCTGGGTCAGTTTTTTTTCAAGGGGGGTTTCTTTGGAATGTATTCCGAGTTTGGATTTGAAAGCAAACTGAAAAAAAATTTCGTGACGCATCACATTTGGAGAAATATAAATTCCGCAAGGGATAGATTTCAGAATGAATTTGTTCATATGGAACGCTATTTTGACTTCAAGTGACACCTATCCATATTTTGAAGAACTATCGAAGCGTTGAAGCCTCTGGAGCTTTTCAAGCAATTTAATATTTCGACGTACTCATCTTATTCTTTGACCTTTGTTTAGATCGGATCCATCTCTATGCTGCGAATTTCTGCAAAAGAAAGCCCGGCAATAAATTGTTTGAGTTTCAAACTTTTAGTTTAAGGCACTCGTGGCCTCAATATTAGTCCTTGCCATTTTTCGAATACAGCATATTGCTTTGATTTTGAATAACCGTTGAATCTCATCGATAAATCGAACTTCCTAAGTCGAATATCTCTCGATCTAATCCGGATTCTTTCAATTCCTTGTCTGAGTATCTTTAAAACAATGCATTAGAAAACTCCAAAACTCAAAAGGACTTCCCCCTCAAAACTTATCGGATTTCTTGAGGCCTTTTGGCTATTCTTTAATGAAATAGGAAAGAGAAAAGCTGTAAAAATGTAACTCAATGCATTTTGAAAAGAAGTAAAACAGATTATTTGTGCAAATTAACCCTTGCCTCCACGCTCAGCATCCAATTCAATAACTCAATTGTGAAGCAAGCAATTAAGACCCAAAATATCACAAATTACAGCTAAGTTTCCTCTAAATCGTCTTTCTTTCTCTAAAAAAAAGTATATATTTCCCCCTAATTCGAATTGTTTTCTGGTCCCTTATATGAAGTTTGACTTCGCGATGATTGGGTACTGAGATGCAAAATTTCAGATAATCGAGAAGATTAAGGTTCAAAAAATACACTTGCGATGTATGTATACATTTGTTCTCGTCGCTATAGCTCGCTAAAATTTTCGACGATGATATTTTTAATATTGATTATATATATATTCACAGGATTTCGAAAAAAAACTTTTGGAGCATCATAATTTCATTTTGATTTTCAGTCCTGGCCTGTGTCACTGGAAGCACCGGGATTTTATTGATCTGCGTGGTGAATGCACCATCCAACATGACGTGTTTGAATATGGAAGATCATTCAAAATCCAGGGCCCATCACAGAAGACGATCCCAGTTATCCCAGCAGATGTCGCCGGCATCGCGCGGTGCGGATCAAAAACGTCAGTCCCACGTTCACCACCATCATCAACAACACCATCAGCATCAGTTCCGACGACATCGTTCGAGTCACAGAGACCCGGGTTCGGTGCCCTCTGGGCATAACAACGTAGCGTCTGAAACGGGAAACCGTAAGAACAGTGATGGGGTGGCTGCTGCTGGCGGTTCTTCTTCTCGGGGTCGAACCAGCAGGGGTCCGGAGTCCAAGGATGCTGTTCATGCGATACATTTTGCAGAGGCTTTCAGAAGAGTCAGAGTTTCTCAAATTCTGAAGAAAGGGGAAAGCTGGTTCGTGTCTGCCTCGGGCAAGTCAACGAAAACGACGATGCGAACTGGAAGCTCATTTCGGTGAAACTAGACAGTACAGTATATGTGAGGTGCTAGCGTATGAGCAGTATATAGATGTCATCTCTTATTCCTGATGGATATTATATCAGTCGATTATACTCGTCATCATTTGTTCTGGCGTCGCGAATTTTCACATTGTTTTCCTTCATTCATGATTTCTTCATGTATTTTCTCTTGATGAGGTGATGAACATGATTTCCAGAAAAGACTGTGTGATACATGACCAGTATACAATAATGCTGTGTAATACTTATTTTCTATGTTAGTCAGCGTGCGATTAGAATAAGTGAGTCCCCGCATGCGTGTAACAAAAGACGTTCGCAACAAAAATTAGCATAACACTTTTTGATTTCTGGAAAATGGCGACTGACATAACGGAATTTGTTGGCCCAATAAGGAACTCGCTTAACTTCAAGATTTTTTTCAGGCAGAACTTCTGAAAATTTTCGAAATACGTACTCCACGCTGTATTGGCCTCGACATTTCTGCCTTATTTAGAAAGGTCAGAGCAGAAATATGCTACGGCAACTTCAATTTCATATAAATGCATTTTAAAATTCACAAGTGTATGCTGAAAACTGGCAAAAATACACAGTTTTGGTTTATTGTGGCCTTATAGTCGCCTTACGGTGATGAGTTTCTTGAACAAATTAAATCATTGCGCAATATCAAACCTCAAGGAAAATTGCGTTTTGCACTCCAAAACTTTGGAAAACAAAATGTTCCCAGGAAAATGACACACTGTATAATTAAGCCGTAAACTAATTTTTGGTCATTTTTTCAGGGGAAAACTACCACACTGTACATTAAAACTTATTTGGAACAGCAGGCCACTCACTAATATATATACGAGTTAAGACACGTTTTATTTTCTATACACTTGAGCTATCTGAGCCAACATGATTTTAGCCGCTTTCTTATTCTAAGTGAAGCCTATATATTGGCTGAAAAATGTATTAGATGTCACACAATTTTGAAGCTTTTTCGAAGATCTTGGAGGGTTTGCTGATATTAGAAAGGTATATTCTTATGTGAAATGGACCCGAGAATTTAAAACCCACATCAATAATCGGATTCGATTGCAAATATTCTTTTCGTTCTCCAAATTTTTACCGAAAATAATTGACGAGAACTATAGATTTCATGACGAATTACTCCGATGACGTTTCGTGAATTTACAATCGAATAAGTGCAAATAAACTTTCGAAATACCCTTTCTTCATCATTTAAATTGTTGATATGATGCGCAACAACTTTTTTCCTACATGACGTGTCGAGAGCGACATCTATGATAATTCAAAAGAAGATCACCGTTGAATCCTTTTTGTGTGAATAATACGTCATTATTATACTATACTGATGTTCTTATAATCATATAAGACGAGCACATGGGGAACGCGGATGAGAATACAGCAGTAATGTACATGATGCATTTCTCGACGGCTTGAAGAATATTTATTTAATACAGTATAATTTTTGAATGCACATTGAAGGATTAGATTCTGCGTTCTTGTTCATGAGTGGTCCTTAATTAGCGAAGTTGCAAAGGTCTTCTGTAATGGTGATCACGATGAGCCATCAATTCGAAGAGATTACTTCATTATTCCCCCACGAAATCTATGCCTTTCACGAAAATGCGCGAGTCTTAATTATTATACTACAGTATTTATCAAGTTCAACAGCAGCTGCGTGACCTCTGATACTGCTGCTGGCTTTTATGATAACATCTGCTCCGACGAACGCTTCTTGTCTTGACCATAAAAAATGCATTCCTGGTCAGGTGAAAAAGCATAACAATATGATACTGTATCTTAATTTAAAGGTTACGTATTCATAGTCGATTACGCCGTTATTGAAGAGAAGACTTCGATCTCGTATACGCCATTCTATGATACAGCAATAAATTGACTTAGTTTATTGACTCTCCCTACAACGAAATTCAAGAAACCCAAAAATAACTATTGTAGAGAATCCGTATGAAATTAGAGATAATCTTGTGGGACCAAAATTAATATTTTTTCACGAAGAAAATCGTTGTAGACAAAATCGTCGTTGAGCTGTGTGTAACATACGAGGGTCGGTGTCGTGTTTTTGCATTTCTTCATCAGCGACATCTGTCCGTCCCGCGACAATTGTATTCTGTGTACAGTAGTGCATAGTATCGTTATTTGCGGATGAATTTGATCATCGCGTGGTCCATATTATTATAAAAGGAGATACAGTATTTTGTGATAATTGATCACAAACAAACCTTAAACAGTAGCTGATCTTGATGTCCCTTGAAAATCTGGACACACTGTATGCATATATACAGTATATATACCGGTGTATACATCCTGTATATTGCACAAACTGTATACTGTATACTGACTTTCTCGAAGAATAATATGCAGAATTTGAAGCGAAAAATTCTGAAATAAAGTTTATTGTTCATTTTGAGAGCATTATCCATTGGCTAAACATACAGTAGCAGTTCAATTCTTCAATGTATACCAGTAAATATATAAATGAATACCGCGTATAAACGGTGTATACGGCGAAATATGATCAGAATAATTCAAGTTCTTCAAACACTACCAAAGTCTTCATTGTTGCATGCATCATTGAATAGGAGACAGAAAAATAATGTATTTAATTCGATTGCAGAAACAATTTTTCAATGGAAATACAGCATACATTGCAAGTCATGTGCACAACACAACCTTATTATTATTTACAAGACCTTTTGATTTATGACGCTTTGATGATTTTAGCGTATGGAAAGCTCCATCAATGTACAGTATATGTATTCCAAACAAATCTGATAAAATATATATTTATATGTACGGTATACACCTTATGATAATTTTTTTCAACAATTATTTGCAATCTCAATAACTTTCCATAAATAGAAAGTTTGCATTGAGAGAAAATACTGTAAAGTGAAATTTTCGAATACAGTAAACATCAGAGGTCAGACATAGGATTACAGTATACAGGGTGTTCTTGCTGTTCCAGTGTAATTATAATGTACTGTACGAGGTTATAACGAAATGAAGGGGTGGTATAGAATAGATGACACTCCTGACCCTCACCACTCGTTTTTGGTGTACAGTATTGTACCTCAACATTGCAGGATAGAGCGCATTCAATGTGGCGACACCCACGCTGCAAATTGTGGTCCACCGGGAGTCCACTGAGTTAGTCGTAGAGTAAGTGTACGGCCGGTATAGTAAATGTACGGCGGTTTCAGGGAGTTAGGTACACTGGTGATAGGGTTGTATTTTCTTCTTTGCACAAGTAGGAGATTTGGGAACAGTCACAAGAGTGGCACTTGGCGCATTGTAGAATGATTGGAGACGGAGCTGCGGAGTGTCAGGAGGTTGTTGCAGTAGTGAAGCATTGTCCCTTTTTGCCCGCTTAAGTGCTGGTGCTGTTGACCCTGGGTCCCGTTAGGTTCTCTTGTGTTTCTGCAGAGGATGTTGTTCCCGGTTGGGGTCCGTTAGGTTCCCCTTGTTCGGTTTGTCGGATGTGCTTCCCCGGTTTGGCTTAGGGTTGTGTCCTTGCGGTTTTATGTGATCTGTGGGAGAGATAGTGTTTGGCAGCAATGTGTTTTTGGTGTTTGTGTTCTTTTTGTGATAAGGATCTCTCACTCTCCCCCCCCCCCCAAAGAGATGCTTGTTGCCAAGTGGCTGTTTTCATCACCGATTGTTGGCGTGTGCTGGGCCCGTGTGGGGTCATTGGCCCCCGTTAGCAGGCAGGGCCCGCGTGTCAGATTCCTGACGGCGGTGCAATAAAGGTGCTTGCAGACATGGTCTGCCATGTCAGAGTGGTTGTGTGGCCGGGTGTAGTGGTGTTCTTTCGTCTCTGTCGGCGGTTCCCGTGGTGCTGGTGCTCGGAGGAACTTCAGGTGTTTCTCGTACCCCTGTTAAGGGGCCCGGGTCCCATGCACCCAAGGTTGTAGTTCCCATGCGGGGATGATGGCAATGCAAGCGTTGGTGCTGACAGTGTACTGTCTTGGCGCATGCAGTCCAAGACGTTGTTTGCAAAAACGTCGGGATGCCGCATGGAGCTTGGTGGACGCGGTGCATGGGCGTACGGCGACCATATCCCCCGGGTAGAAGGTGGGGTGTTTGGCCAGGTTAGCCTGCTGTAGGGATTGCAGCTGTTGTTGTTGGAGATAGCCAGCCACCGCTTCAGTTTTGACGGCGGTTGGCGGAGCTGCGCCAAAGTGATTGTCGGCCTCCATGCGTGGATCCTGGCCCAGGAAGACTTTGCTCAGTGTAGCCCCCGTCGAGGTATGTGGCGTGAGATTATATGCGGCCATGGCTGTCGGTGAGTGGATATGCCAGTTGGCACTGTCCCCTTTTGCCAGTTTTGCCTGGATTGGTCCAATGGTGCGAATGGCCCGTTTGCATGTCCCGTTGCCCTCCGGGTGATTGGCATGCGCAAGGTGTTGTTTGCACCCCGCCTGTGTCACAAATTGGTGAAAGGCACAGGATTTAAAGATTGTGGCGCGGTCCGAGTGGATGGTGAGGAACTTTCCCACGTGTCCTGTAGGATAGTATGGATGTTGGCAATGGCCGTCGCCGTATCTGCTTGCGGTACTGGGATGGCAACCAGGAACTTGGAGAATTGGTCCATCGCGATGAGCGCATATTTGTGTAGCCCGGTAGATTGCGGGAGGGGCCCATAGAAGTCGATGCAGAGTTGGTCAAATGGTTTTGTCACAGGTATCCCCGTCATGCCTTCTCCTGTGATTTTTGTGCTGTTGTTATACGCAAAGCATTTGGGGCAGTCCACGAGTTGGCACCAGATTGTGTGGTGCATGTGGGGCCAGGAAAAGCGTGCGCGGAGTGTGTGCAGCACTTTCTTCCAGTGTGCATGCCCGAGGTCAATGTGGTAGCGTTCAATGACTTTGCGGTATTGTCCCGGGTGTACCGCCAGGCGTAGGTTGGCTGCCTGGATGGAGACCCTACTGAGGGCATTGGGCGCGTGTAAGGATGCGCCGGGCCGGTATTCGATTTTGCCTTGGTATTGTCCAAGCTTCATTTGCATGCAGATGAGGCGGGAGGATTTGAGCTTGCCAAGGAGGGGCTGGTGGTCCGTTATCATTCGGAACGCTCGGTGCTCCAAATAATGACAAAACTTCTTTGTTACAGCCCAAACCATTGCGAGGAGCTTGCGTTCAGTGTTTGTGTATCGCGTTTCTGTGTCCGTGAGTACCAGGCTGGCGTACTGAATGACGGCTGGCCCTGTTTCGGGGTGTACCTGGACCAGGACCGCCCCAAGGCTTGTCGCGGTGGCGTCGGTGTGTACTTCAATGGGTTGCTGTTTGTCGTAGCATTCCAGGCGGGCTGCGTTGGCAATTGCAGTTTTCAGATCGTGAAACGCAGTCTCAGCTGGTGTTGACCACCGGAGGGTCATGCTAGGTTTGGCAGGGATGGTGGTGCGCAGCACTTTCTCCGCCGTAGCAAAGTTGAGGGGCACATGGGCCCATAGATATGTTGCGAGACCCAGGAACCTCTGCATCTCTTTCGTTGTGCTAGGACAAGGGTAGTGCTCTACCGTGGTCAGGTTGTGTGGGGCTGGCCGTGCCCCAGTTTGGTCAATGATTAGTCCCAGGAACTCAATCTGGGTGGCAAGGAAGGTGGACTTGGCGATGTTGATAGCCGCCCCGGCCTTGTCCAGGGCTGTAAGGACGTCCTGGAGGTTTTGGCACACCATCGTGTAGGTGTCGCTGAAGACAATAATATCGTCAGTGTAGGCTAGACACTTTGTTAGGAGATGTGGCTGCAGGATAGAGTTGATGGCGTGTTGGAACAGCGCTGGCCCATTCTGTAGTCCGAAGGGCAGTACCGCGTACTGCATCTGTCCTTGGGGTGTCGAGAAGGCTGTCTTTGGGCAGTCTTGGGGCACAATGGGCAGATGGTGGAAGGTGCTGTGTAAATCCATGGTGCAAAAAAACGCGGATTATTGGCATTGGGTAGTTGTCCTGGACTAGCAAGGTGTTGAGTTTTTGGTAGTCTTCAACAAGTCGCCATTGCTGTACGGCAGGAGCATCCAATTGGCCATTTTTCTTTGGCGTGAGGAACGCCAGTGAATTGTAGGGGGACTTTGCCGGCTCAATGATCCCGGCCTGGACGTATTCTGCAATGATCTCCTTGAATGGCGCAAGTTTGTCCGGCGCTTGGCGGAATGGTGGGGATGCCGGCAGTGCCCCATCTGTGGTGTCCAATGTGACAGTGTACTTGGGGAGGCATCCCTGTCGTCCGGACCACTGGAAAACAGCGTCTTGATGCTGGAGCAAGATGTCGCAGATTCCCTGTTGCTCGTGCGTTGTACCATCGACAAAGTGTATGCCATGGCCTGCAATGAGGGCTGGCTGGGCCCGTTGTTTGGAGTGGTAGTGGTAGCCGACATACAGGCGGTTGCCTTCCAGGCCAATTGTGAGGGGTAACTGGCTCATGAGATTGCGTCCCACAATGATGCGGTGGGCTGCGCGTTGGAGTACCCAGAGTGGCATTGGGTAGGGCCGCTCGTGTATGACAAGGTCCACTTGCACTTTGGCGGCAATGCGGATGTTGGTTGTGTCGGCGGTGGACACCGTTACATCCGTCAGGATATAGGACAGTCCCAAACGGGTGGCCCACTGATGCTCAATGAAGGAGTGGGAGGCGCCGGTGTCAATCATTGTGTTGCACTGTTGGCTGCCAATGGCAACGCGGATGAGGATGGGGTCGGAGGCAGTTGCAACAGTGTTGAGGAAGCAGAGCGCCGCCGTGCCTACTCCCTCCGTCCGTTTCCTGTTGGCTGGGTACATTCCTTGGCATGGTGTCCTGTTTTCTGGCAGGTTGCGCACGGTAGCACGCTGCTGGCCATAGCCCCGTTGGTTTTCTCCTTGTCATCATGGTCCCATTTTGTGTAAGCGGGGTGCTTGGTTTTGCGGAAACGGGCCCTGCACGTGTCCGTTGTGTGCCCCTGGCGGGACCGATGCCAGTCGCAGTATAGCTTGGTTCCCATGCTGGACGCCCGGGGTGGACGGTCCGCTTGTGGTTTGGTGTTGGTTGTGGGTCCGGTCCCGGTGTCCTATTGTTTGTCCAGCAGGTTGCGGATACTGTCAGCCAGGTCAATCAGTTCGTTGCACTGGATGTCTGGTTTTGTATTCAGCTTTGCTCGGAGTTTGTCAGCGATTTGTCCATCAGCCACTTGAAGGAGCTGTTCAATGAGCATTGGATGCATCACGTGAGCGTGAAGATGATCTGGGGTGACGTTGTCTGGTGCCAGTCTGAGGAACAGCTGATAGTCGTCCTGCAGCCGTTTGGCAAAGCATCGGTACGTCTTGTTGCTTTTGAGTTGCAGCTTTTGGAATCAGCGCAGTCGTTTGTACTGCAGTGTGGGATGGAAACGGGTGATTGCTTTCACCATTTCTTCAAAGGTGCGGGCCCCCATGGCATACGCCTGTTGTGTGGTGTTGGGGACATCGCAGGACGTGTTGTGGATGAGGCAGCGGACTTTGTTGTTGTCATTGATGTTGTCAATGATCAGCAATTCACAAAGCCGGATGGCATAGTCTTTGAAGTCTTCGTCCGCGCACTGTTTTGGCAGATCGGGTGCCCGGTGATTGTGTACACATTGGGATGGCGGTGGTGGTATGCTGGGCCCTGGCAGGAGAGCGGTGTGCCCTGCCTCGTCATTGTTGGATATCTGAAACATGAGAAACGTTACTGGTGAAATCTGTAGGTTTTCCAACAAGGTGACGTAGCTGGGTTTTTCTCCCGTCAGGGGCCTTTTGGCCACGTAAGTCTCCGTGAAGCATTGCAACGTCTGGAGGGATATGAAGTCCCATGGATGCAGCGTGGAGGTGGATGAAAGCTCGCTGGGCGGCCTGCCCAGCGCTGTCAACGACGCGTTGGAAGGGGAGTTCTCCGCAGAGGGCCCTGGGAGATCCGTTGGTGGCATGAGGGACGCCGCACATGCTGTTTGCAGTTGTGCCAGCTTGGTGGCAGCAAGTTCAGCAACACAAGAGGTCTCAGTGTCACGTGGCATTGTCGTTTGGTTGGGGATGGGTTTGGTTTTCGGGTTTTTGTTGGCAGGACAAGCCCCCAGTAAGTGTACGGCTGGTATAGTAAATGTACTGCGGTTTCAGGGAGTTAGGTACACTGGTGATAGGGTTGTATTTTCTTCTTTGCACAAGTAGGAGATTTGGGAACAGTCACAAGAGTGGCACTTGGCATGTTGTAGAATGATCGGAGACGGAGCATCAGTGGGCCACCCGTTTGGTACTGTCCTATATCCTGACGGACGTAACGGTGTCCACCGCCAACACAACCAAAATCTGCATCATGGCCAAAGTGCAAGTGGACCTTGTCATACACGAGCGGCCCTACCCAACACCACTCTGGGTACTCCAACGCGCAGCCCACTGCATCATCGTGGGACGCGATCTCATGAGCCAGTTACCCCTCACAATTGGCCTGGAAGGCAACCGCCTGATGTATTTTCAAGCCTAGCAAAATGAAAATTCTATTCTGCTAGGCTTGAAAATACATCAAAATGAAGAAAAAATGTCAAATTCTATTTTGCTAGGCTTGAAAATACATCAAAATGAAGAAAAAATGTCATTATTGTTTTCGAGTTGCTAAAATGGGGTGCACATCCTACTTGATAGGAGGGATATAGGATTTTTAAAAAATTTTCATTGTGCCCCTTATTAGTGGAGGGTGCCTGGTACTGGATTAAGTTGGGTATTTGAAATGTTTAGATGACATCCATGCATTCACAAAACACTGGGGATTAACAGGGATTCAAGAATCAATTCACTAGAGGATGTGTGAGAGTAAAGGTGAAAAATGTTTCTTTTGTCTATAAGTATTTAAAAATCTGACAATTTTGTTCCTCAATGAAATAATATTCAAAATATTTTCCAGTTATTACCCTCAAGTCCAAAAAAGACTCTTGCAGACATTCTTGAGTCCAAGAATGTCTGACTTAGGTAAGGAGCATACTGGCAAAATTAAAAACGACGCGTCTCAGTAAAAACGACGCCGCGTCGTTTTTACTGAGCCGCGTCATGTGCCACTTTTTGCAAGGGTACATAGAGGGCAGCACGGGTAAATTAATGGCCGCGCGCATGGACGCGCACAGTGCGTTCCACTGGCATTGCTTAAGTACACTAGACCCCTTTTGAGTACAATGTCACAGTTCTTTTTTTTTTTTTTTAGATGAGATTACTTCGGGCATTCCGTTGCTAAAGAAGAGAACTGCCCGTCGTGTCCGGCCTGTTCACTTACCTCGTGAACCTTGGCACCTTTCTGCAAGTGCCAAAACCTCAACATATCATGGGTTCTCGCCACGACCACGGTACATCCGCGGAAGTTCAACCGAAGAAACAAAAGAAGTCAAAGTCAAAACATGAAAAGTAAATCTGCGATTCGAAGAATTCGGTGAGCTCATTAATTCAATCTTAATATTTACTTGATAAAGTCGAGCGTGAGGGAGAAGGAAAGTGAAATGATCGTCAGAAGAGGCACAAACGAAAAAGTGAGCCCTAAGAACCAGAATAATTGGGTCTAGTGTACTTTAGCGATGCCAGTGAAATGCACTGTGCGCGTCGAAGCGCGCGGCCATTAATTTTACCGTGCTGCCCTCTATGTACCCTTGCAAAGAGTGGCACATGACGCGGCTCAGTAAAAACGACGCGGCGTCGTTTTTACTGAGCCGCGTCGTTTTTTATTTTGCCAGTATGCTCCTTACCTAAGTCAGACATTCTTGGACTCAAGAATGTCTGCAAGAGTCTTTTGGACTTGAGGGTAATAACTGGAAAATA